ACAAAGAAAAAAAATAACTTTGGTTATGTCTGTCTGTGTATTATTATTTTCTTTATTCAATACAACGAAACGTATGTAACACATAATAAAATGTTGATTGTGATACAATGTGATAATTGCGAATGTCGATCAATATCAAACTTCTACTATGCTACACTAATCATGTGAAAAAATTGTTGAAAATGATTATATGACTGAACAATGGTAATTATAATATATAGTAAAAGTAATATATATATTAATATATAGTAATGACAAAGTTATTTTCTGTGCAGACTAATGGATAATTCTCCAAGAATGTTATTGAAAATAAATACTATTTTTTTTCCATTGAAATTTATTCACAATTATTATTATTATTGTCTTTGAGCTCTGTAATAATTTCATTAAATAAATAAAATTCTCTCTCTTTCTCTCTATATTACTATTACTATACCACTATTACTATTACATCAACACATTGTCATCAACATTCCAAGGGATATTAATATGTAATATTGGAAAGTAAAGCTAATACTAATATATACTAACTTTAAATGTAATGTGTGTATATATATATTAATATATATAGTAATAGAACAAGGATTAATCCACGTTTTTTAAATGATCAGGGATATATATATATACTGTATATATAACAAAGAAGTCAAGATATTTGTTGCTATATATTACTAAATTAGGGTTTTTACTAAGGATGTTAGCCAAAATGGATTTTGAAAAAAACAATTTCGGATTTACAATATTCTTTATATCTATAGGCATAAAATACTACCCAGAATTTCGGTATTTAGTTAAGTGTTCAAATAATTTCAGATATAATTTCGGAAACTAATAAGATTAATTTCGGCATCTATGAAAAACTATTTCAGCATTTGGATTAGGCGACGATCATTTATTAATATTAAGAGAGCCAATTTCGGCTAACATGCTTAGCAGTCGCAGGACATTGCGTATTTACAGGGGGTCAAGTGTCACTCATATATAAAATTAATGATCTTTGTGCATAATTTTATATGTAAAATCGAAGAA